GTTAAGTTTCTGAAACATCCGGAGTGCATTAGTGGTTCAGCTCGACTAATTAGAAATTCCCAAAATAATTTTTAATACCTTTTTCAATTATAAAAGGAGTTGCTTGAGGTAACAGCAGATAATGGTGTCGTCCCCCCCACCCCCAGGCATCTCTGTTCCTTCCAAGCTTATTGGCAACAGATGACTCATTTCACCTCTGCCCAAGATGACTGCTTTACAACTCTTCCAGCAGCATCTGGCCTTAAACGAGGTTACTCAGGCTCAAACTGATGAAATAATTTCTATTCTTGTGCCTATACAGACCATGCCTGTAACACACAGTGCCTGAGACTAAAACCCAACTGAAAACCAGCCAAACATTTAGACGTGACCTGAAAAGGCAAAACCGTGCTGTGGCCACAGGCCTGGCTGCCATGGAGAGGCAAAACCTGGCATAAAGTGAAGTTTTCTGGGCTAGGCATCCCCAAAGCTGGGTGGGGACTTCAGGGAAGCTAAGCTCATATTCACACCCACATGAGCTTTTCAAGTCTGTGCTAGACAGCATTGCTTAAATATTTCTCTTTCCATGCACAGGCAAAACATTTTCAGTTGCATTGGATACAGCTGCCTCGCAAACACAGAGAGATGATGAAGCACTTCTGGGGAGATTATTGAGCAACTTTTGGCTCTCAGGGAGTTCCTCCATAGCCCTTGGCTTGGAAAGGTACCACCTACAGCCATTTTTAGCCTGGTTTCCCAAGGGAACATGTGTGATCACTCTGCCAGTCCCACATTAAAAGCTGAAGCCAGCTGGCCAGTTGCCACCAAGTTTTCCTCAGAGGTCAAGGTCCGTCCCAAAAGTGATATCCCCACTGGCAAAAAAGCAGCACATGGAGCTCAGGCAGATACCAGACCCTGCACGTGGAAGAGAGTGCTTAAATGCTTTAATCATGTAAAATGCTGCCAAACCTGCACCTTGTCAGATAAGGATGTCTCTTGTTTCACTGAACCATTTCCTCCATTTCCATGGCCCTTGGGAGCTGGCTTATCCTTTGAAGTCGGGTACCCAGCCTAGAGCCAAAGGTCTCTGTGCAGGCAGCTCTCCTGGCAAGGTGGGCTGGACTCATGGAGGGGGATCCTCCTGGCCAAGGTCCACTGAGAAATGAGAACCTGAATTTGAGATAAGCAAACTGTTCAATGCAGACATCTTCACTCAAGCAAGCCACATACATTTCCTTGTCACACAAGCTGCACTTTGCTTATTAGACATATGGCAAGAACCTCAGCACATACCTCAAGGCTATTTATTGTGACCTGTCAGGTGCAATTTCAGAGGTGAAAACAATCTCACCTGTCTCTTCAGGTGCTAATGCTGGAGGAAAGCCTTTCTTGTGGTTCACACTTGTATTCTTTTTGTAATTTAATGCCACCAGACTTCAAATGTTTATTGTAGTCAGTAGTTATTTTCCCTCCTCGGTCTTTAACACATGCTAATGTTCACCATCACTTATCATCTGGGAGCTATTAATATTAAGTTTGTTTAATGTTTCCAAGCCAATCTCTGGAGTGTTTTAGCAACGTTAATAATTAATAGAGGAAGACAAGCATTTTAGAGGCCTGAAGCAGTTCAGGGCAGGCTCACAGTTTTGAGCCACAGTGTAAATGGTCTGTTCACCATTACAGCTCCACCAATCCTTAAAATATGTCTCAACTTTTTATCACTTTAACAGTGAGGACCTCAATCTTCTTTTCATTAGCAAAGGCATAACCCTTGCTCCTCTCAAAACAAAAAGACCTTTTAATGCTGCATGGCAGTGGTGACAGACCTTTCCTGTATCATCACCAGTGGAATACCCTGGGTTTTCATTACTTCATCACACACAGAAAGGGAGAAACAGCAAAGACCAGGACACTTCAAGTATTGCCATTCTGTGATTTAACTCCTTAGCCATGCTGTGTATGAAAACCACCACACAAACAAGGGAAGGCACATTTAACAGCACAGCTATGGCAAACAGTTTTGAGGACATAATTTGATGTGATCTCTGGATGAATTGATTATTTTGAATTTATTTTGCTGACCACGGTTTCAGGTGCTTGTTATTGAAAAAATAAGCAATTAGAATGTTTCGGATACAAATTGACCCATCAGGAACAATTTTGTGGTATTCAGGGACCTCAGAGGACCAAAAATGCTGAAGATGAGCATAATTTCAGAGCAGTACAAAGTCTAAGCCTCATTTCAACAATGCGGGAGCTTTGATAGTGATCAGACCTCCTGAGCTGGGCACGCCAGGGACCACATGGAATCCATGTGGATGAGCCCAAGGAGAGGGGGAGAAATAAGTCAGGGGAGAAAAAAGAACTCTCCCACAAGCAGACAGCAAGCAAGTGGCAAAGCTGAGGTTTCAGTCTCTGTGTTCAGCTCAGGGCTGTGCCTTTATTGCCAGACTCTGCTGCCTTTCCCACACAACCACTTTTCCCTAAGCAAGGGAGGTTTACAGTGCCCACATCGGTGCTTCCTCACAGCAGTCACAGTCAGGGAGAAGCAAGTGCTACATACACAACCACTGAAAAAGAGCCCTCCAGGAGTTTCTCAACTGCCCCACAAAGATCTGTGTGCTTGTGCCTCCTTTAACTCAGAAAAAGGAGGAAGGAGAGGCATCCTGCTCAAAGTTATGCAGCAGGCAGAGCCAGAAATACAAAATTATTGGAATTATTCTTGCATGCTTAGCCTAGAACTTTTATTTTGACCTCCTCTGGAATTCTTGTGCACCATTGACATGTCAGCCTTTCCTTCAGAATTAAAAATCAAATAAAAAAAGCTGAGGTGGAGCAGTGGGGAAAGGTCTACAAGGTGTATTTGATCCACACCACTCCCGTGGCCAGACCCATCCTCCAAATTCTCATGGTGCAATTACATCAGGTGGCTGTAAAATGAAATGCAGTCCCTAAACATCAGAAAAACAACCCATGGCCAGGTTTTACCAGTAAAATTTATTTCAAGTGAAGAACCCTTCACTGCACAAGCACAGCAAGGTACATCCCTAGGTTTGTGCAGGATGCTCCAGATGCTCTACCCATCTGGTTCCACATTTGCAAACCACTCACCACTGAAGGGGTCTGATCCTCAGCATCCTGCATATTTTCCCTCAGAAGAAGCAGGCAAGTAGACAGAAAAACTTCTGGCTCCTTGACACTGCAACAATGCTTATCAGAGATGTTCACATTCCAGTAGTTTGGAGAACAAAGAGCAAGAGAAGCTTGGCTGTGCATCCACATTTCTGGCAGGAGACCTCGGTCCGTCTCTCATGGGCTGGTGTCTGTTTGGCTCAGAAATGAGGCCGGGCAGCAGCATCCTCGCTGTCTCAAAAGGTAGATGAGCTGTGCCCTCTAGTGGGGTCTGCCTCAGCAGGAGCTGCAGAGGAGCCTTCCAGGGGAGGCTGTCCCAACCCACAGGAGGGACACACTCCCCTGGGTTCTGCAGGTTTCCAGGGCATTTACACCAGCCAGGCCATGGCACTTTGTTTGGGCACTTCATCCCCACCTTCACAGAGACCTCTGAGAGGTGACCTCTGCTCGGACAGAGGAGGCTGGTATGAAAATAACAGAGCAGCACAAACTGGGAATGAAGTTTCTCTTAGCCCTGACAAAGCCATCCTTTCATAAGGCTTCAAAGCCCCCCAGACTTTTTTTTCTACTAAAAATTAGATGCTCAGTTTAGGTGCATGATGCTACCACAGCCTGTAGGTCCAAACCAGTGGGTAAATTCATTGATGTGGGCAAGGATTCCTGCTGCAGCAACCCCAGCCCAAGGTATCCACACTCAGCCCTTCCAAAATCCTGAAACATCTTCCTACACCCTTGCTGTACCAGTGCAACTGTGCACAGGGCCACAGAGACTCACACTGAAGGACTGACTAAACCAAAGCCCCAGGGGAAAAAAAAAAAAAGGGAAAAAGAAAGGCTTTAAGTCAGTTCCTTTGGGAAACAACTTATAAGAAAGGGGTGGGAGCACATGAAACTGCTTCTGGACTGGAAAAACTATATATATTCATAGGAACTGTGTTCACAGTTATCCATAGGAACTGTGTTCTGCCTCTGCAGAGCTGATTGGAAGGACCTGGGAATACAAACTACATGGCTTTTCATGACTGAAATGGGAAGTAATTGAACTGCAGTGCTTAGGCCTTGGGAGTCACAAGACACATTTTTAATTTCAAAACTAGGATGATATTGTTTTTAAGCTTTCTCCTAGGACTTCTGCTTTTCACCCTGTTCCCTATAACCATTAGGAGTAGATTTTGTTAAGCCTGTTTCACTTCCAGATCTCTTATTTGAAGGAAAGACACTGACTATGAGGAGTGACAGAAACACAGATTTATTGTCATTCAGATGTTTAATTATCAGATCTTCCCATTCTCACTCCAGACCCGTTATCCCAATGCAGTCTCACATGCTGTGAGTTCTCTCTCAAGATATTGGACAAGAGCAGCCTTCTTCAAGCCAGTGAGCCCCAGCTGCCTGGGGTAACCAGCTATTACCCTAATTAACAGGCAGTGAAATGCTCACTTTGTACCTCCCAAACTCAGGAGCAGCTGTTTTTCAGCTGAAGCGCTTTGCCAGACAAGCAGGCACATCTTCTCCCACAAAACACATCCCCTTTGGAATCCCAAGCCCGGGATATCTGAGCCTGTACCTGGCAGGAGACCAAAGCCAGGTCTAACGTTCATGAGCAGAAATTGCCATGTTATAAAAACCCGGAGAGGAGAGATCCCGTGTGTGCCGTGACTCCAGCCACACCCAGCCCGCCCTGATCCTCAAACCTGCGGGGGTCCGAGGGGGTCTTACCCCCATGTCCCTGATAGCTGGGATGCTCTTGGACCCCAAGACACGGGGAAAGCCCCACCCACCCATTCATCCGTCTGTCTGTCCGCCCATCCATCCACCCACCCACCGCCCAACCCCGGCGTGGGAAGCGGGGAGGGAAGGACGGAGGCAGGGACGGAGGGGTGCGGGGGATGGCCACGGTGACAACAGCCTCTCTCCGTCTTGCCTGGCTGCCAGACCTTAGACCTGGTGTCAGGTCTAAGGTTCACCGATCTCGGCCTGCCTCTCTCACCTTTGACACCGCTCCCGGAGCCGCTGCTTTCGCTTTTAGCTGCTGCGGGCACGGAGGGGCTGGGACGCACGGATGGGGCCGTCACCCTGTCACCCCTGACACACGGACTGCAGCCCCGGCGGCACAGCGAGCCTTCGGGAAGGTAAAGGCGTCCTCCGCTCAGGAATTCCCCAGCGGGCAGGGCAATCCCCCAAGGATTGCTTTTCCAGGCGAGCCCTCTCCAAGGTGCCTTTCCAGGCGAGCTCCGGAAATCCTCCCATCCTCACGGGGCAGCCTCGCATCCTCACGGTGCCACGGTCCTCAGTGACTCCTTCCCAAGAGGAGAGGTTTTAGGAAGCCCTTCCTACCCCCATCCTCCCAGAGCTGTTGTTGGAGGGCTCAGCAGAGCTCTGGCTCTCTTATTGCTGCCTTATTTCCCCGCGTGGTTAATGATCCTCATTCCCTTCCCCTTCGCTTTGAGGGGAGCTGCTTCTTCTGAGAGATCATCGCTGTGTCAGTCTCATATTTACACATTATGTCTTTGCAGTTGGGATTTCTGTATCCCCTGGTAACCCTGGATTAAGTGAACTTTTTGAGTGGCCGCTCTCTTATTTAAACCAGAGTTTAAGAAGGTAGGAGGAGGCTCCCAAAAGCAGAGGAGAACTTTGAGCTGAATGCTGGGAGTTGACTGGAGAGGTAGGTGCCTGACAACTATCTTGTGGTGGGGGGCGGAAGTTAAGTGTATAAATCTGAAAGAACCTGAAATATTGTGTCCAAAACCTGCAGGGGTAAACACTGCAGACTTACACAGTTAAGTGTTGAACTCCTGTAATTTTTCTGAGGTGCTTAGTTAATTTTTGTTCTGGTTCACTCTTGCACCCCTTTGCAGAAACTCAGCAAATAGCTTTAATGGTATTAAGGCCTAAAAATGCTTAGACACCAGTTGGGCATCATTACACTTAACATTAATTTCCCAGGAAGCTAAACAGGGTTTTAAATAAGACTTCTCAGTGACTCCACCCCCAAAGGCATGCCTGACTTTTCTTTTATTACTGCTTTTCTTTGGAAATAAAAGGCGTATCCCCTGACAACGAATACACTAGGATCCCTCCAGCCCAGGTTAAAAATGCTGAACACAATTTCCTGGGTGCAGCAATGTTTAATCCTCCTTTAGAAAGCGAGCAACAATTGGTGTTGTGGCTGTTTGGGAACTCACCTTCAGGACAAGTGTAGGATCACGCAAGCCTGCCCCTGATATCTGTGCTAGACACAGCTGCCACAAAATATTAAGCTGTACCTGGAGACTAAATCCACCAGCAGGGTTTTTACAGCTGATTGAAGATAAATTGGTTTGTTTTCTCTGACTAGACTGGATCTGAGCAGGTTGAGCTTTCCCTGCCCCTCAGTGTGGCCTCTTGGCACAAGGAGAGGACCTGCACCACCTCAGCTGTTGCTCTCCAAATTGATGACAGTAGATAGCTGGATGCTTTTCCCACAGTCCCTTATGCAGGAAATGCAGGGTTTTACGTCTTATTCTGTACTCTTCCAACAAAAAAAGAGGACAAAGCCCTCACCATTTCCCCTTAAATCCTGTTTTGCATTGAATCAGAACAAAGCCATTTGTTTTGCTTCCTTGTCATCCTCCTCAGGTGGGAAGGGAGCCTCACCCTCTGCCTCAACATGGGGAAAAAAAAATGTTTCAATAAGCTTTGGCAAAACTCATTGCAGTAAATCTCAGGTGAGTTTTGTTCCAGCATCAACCCACCTTTCTAAGGTTGAACAGAGAGCAGCAGAGGGAAATGATGAGAAACTGTGTTTGATACAGACAAGCTTGGGTATTTTTCAAGGAGCTTCCTGTTTTCTTAGAGACTTTTATGGCTTATCACTGACAATAACTGCCCAGAACGGATGACAGTCTTGTTTCCAGCCTACAAAGAGGCAAATTTATTTAATCAATACTCTAAGGAGCACATCCATGCTGTGCCACAGGACTTATCTTTTTCCTGCTTGAAAAATATGACTAACTAGCTGTTCTGCACAAACTATGGTCCTGCTCTTCATCACAGGGCTGCATGAGCTGGGGAACATGATGTTACTTGTGTTTTTTAAGGGGATTAAAGCCGTCTCACCCAGCAGAAAAACTGCTTGGATCTAAAGATACAGACCTGGGTTCAGCCAAGGAACGCTCTTAATGACAGCCTTAATGAAGAATTAAAGCTCTGCAGCCTGCCAGATTGCAGAGGGAGGACAGACAAAATAAAAGAGCCACGTGGGATGAGCAGCTCTCAGGAACAAGGGGCTTTTGTCAGGGGAGGGAACTGCAGGGAGCAGGGAGCTGCAGGAAGGGAACTGCAGGAGCTCCACCACTGCTGCTGCTGCTGTTGCTGTAGGTGTCTTTGTAAAGGTACTTCTTGCTTCCACAGCCAAATCCCTGAGGCTCAAGTAGAAATTGCATCAATTCTTTATCAGAAATCTTGCAGATCCCTGCTGCCTGCCTCACCAGGGCTTTATTCCACGTGGAGTGAATCCCTCCACTCCAGCAGAGCTCACCCTGGCGTCCTGCTCAGCCCAACACCCCGTGAACTTCCCTCTCTCCTTTATAGCTGTCCACATGAGCTGAGTGTTTTTGGAGGAGGAGCTCTGTGAGGAGGAACCAGGGCAAAGCAGGGCAAAGTGTCCTTTGCTGCCCTGCACTGGCAGCTCCCACCCAGCAGCGGGGCAGTGGCACTTCCTTGGCCCAGGGCTGGGAGGAGGGGACACAAGTGTCACCCAGGAGGGCTCCCACCGACCAAGGCTCTGCAGGTGCTCTCTTCCAGTCAGGTTTGAGGCAGTCCCCGTTACTGGGTCTGTGTTTCCTGCCATCCCTGGGTCTGGCACACTCTGGGGTGACATGGGGGTGGCACTCCAGGGGTTTGGTTTGTCTGGGGGTCTTTACCCAGGGTGCAGGAGCATTTGTCACCTGCTCTGTGTGCTGCTGCTCCAGCCAGGGCCTCTCACTCCTGAGGCTCTCCTGATGTAACTCCCAACCAGGATAAATGTGGGACATCAGCCTGAGCTCTTCAGCAGGACTCCGGGGAAGGTGTCCTGGAGAGAGAGGCACAGCACAAGGGATTCGCCTCTGCTGGGAAATTCCTCCAGCTCCTCCCTGTTAAAGGAGATGCAGCAATCTCCTTGCCTACACCCAAGGACACTTCTGGCATCAGGTTTCTTCCTAAACATCTCCACCTTCTGGTCACAGCTGACTGTGGCAGATGCTTTGATGCATTAAATCTGCAGTTTATTACAGAATTATTTTGATTTTATTCCAGCCTATTTCGGAGTTATCCCCACCTGCCCAGCTGCCACTCAGGAGCTGCTGCAGGAGGCTCAGCTGATCCCGGGTACCCACTGAGCAGAGCTGGTTTCCTTGCAGGACATGGCACAGACAGCGACCCTGGGCACCTCCCCGGAGGTGCCCCGTCCCTCCTACATGTACAAGCTGGTGCTGCTGGGCAGCATGTCCGTGGGCAAGTCCAGCCTGGCCTACAGATACGTGAAGAACGACTTCAGGGAGCTGCTGCCCACCGTGGGATGTGAGTGAGTGGCTCCAACAGCTCCATGGCTCTGGACAAGAGACCAGGCCTGGAGCACTTCCCTGCAGCGGGGTGGGATGCAGGGGAGCTGCTTGCACAGACCCACTTTGGAGCATGGTGCAGATTTGCCCAAAAGCCAGAACCTCCCCCTTCACACCTCTGCATTTCCAGCCCATTTCCAGCAGCAGGCCACAGGCAAAGCCACATCCACATCACACAGGTCTGGCTTTGTGCTGCTTTTTAGAGGCAGGTGAGCAGCAGAATGAATAAACTGTGCAGCCCATCTGCTCTTTGCATGCTGTGCTGCCTTCCCAGCTATTCAGGCACCTCAGGAGTGTCTCTTAGAAAGGTTTGCATTTAAGATCACCTAGTTTCAATTCCTCCTGCCCAGGTCCCACAACAGCTAGACTTTATGTCTATTTATTTTACAAGATGCACCTGGTTTTGCCTTAAGCAGGCACAGCAGATACAGAGGCTGTGATCCCACCTGCAACTGAAGAGCCAGCTGGAGGAGCAGAGCAAGGTGGAGCTTCTCCTCTCATCCCTCTGCTTGTGGACCAGCCATCTGCTCCCTGGAGGAAAGGATGGAGCCTCCTCTGCAGTGGGAGCCCTTTCCATGGATATTCCCATTCACAGCTCTGACCCACCAGCGAGGTGGAGCTGTCTCTCTGTCTGGGAGCATTCTGCAAAGCTCAGAGTTATCCAGCATCAATTCTGGTGTCATCCACCCAAATCTGCTGCCAGGAAGGTCCACCTCAGCCCAGTGCCAGTGGTCACAAGGAGTCCCCCCTGGATTCTGTGCATTAGAACATCATTCACAGCCTCATGGCAGGGGATCTGAGCTCCCTGCTCTTGCTCCAAGTGAACACACACCCTGCATCTTGCCTGCAGGCTCCTTCTTCACACAGATACTGGACCTGGAAGAGGCCACTGTCAAGTTTGAGATCTGGGACACGGCGGGCCAGGAGAAGTACCAGAGTGTCTGTCACCTCTACTACCGGGATGCCCACGCTGCCCTCCTCGTTTATGACATTGCTAAAAAGGTGAGGCCCCTGGCAGGCCCATGCCACCACCCAGGGGTGGGTTCTGCTGCCATGAATCCCATCCAAGGGTGATTTATCCCTCAGTGTGTTTGAGGGCTGCTGACCTGTTTTCCTGAGAGGGGCAATCAGAACCTCCCCACCCTCTTTGGTTTGGTGCCACCCAGCTGGCTTGGTCTGAGACAAAGGGAATAAATCAAAACCTGATCACTGGGTGGTTTTGTCTCCATCTCTCCAGCAATCATTCAGCAGAGCAAAGCTGTGGCTGGAGGAGCTGGAGAAGAAATTCCTGCCTGATGAAATCGTGATTGCTCTGGTGGGCAACAAGACAGACCTTGCTGCTGAGCGAGAGGTCACCACGGAGGTGGGTGCCTGGGGTTCCCTCATCACCCCTCACAGAAAGAACTGGGACACATCCAAGGAAAATTTCCAGGGAAATCCAAACATATAAGAGGTTTTCAGACACCTCTGAAGTCTCTGTACATGAAATCCACCATAAAACTGAACAAGCAGCCCCAGAGGGGGCAGGGGAATAACTCCGTTTGTTTCTCTTAGGAGGGGGAAGACTTTGCACGAACAAAAGGCCTCCTGTTCATGGAGACATCTGCAAAATCCAACCATCAAGTGAATGATGTCTTCATGTCTGTAGGTGAGTTATGGGATGGCTCTAGGTGAGAGCAGAGGCAGGTGAACCATGGCCCCAGCCCCTGAAAGGCTCAGCCCCTTCCTTGCTGCTACTTGTCACTGAGATGTTCCTCCCAGCCAGTCCAGCCTGTGCCACCCCTTAAGGCAGAAGGATGGACAGATCCATCCTGAGATATTCCAGTGTCAGACAGGGATTTCAGGCCTTCTGTGGGCCCAGAGCCACAATTTTATTTTGCATTGGTATCCAATCTAGTAGTGTGTTGGTGGTGTTTGCAAGGGTCCCAGGATGAGGGAAGAGATGAATCTGACTCTGTATTTCCCAGAAGGCTGATTTGTTACATTACGATATTATATTAAAATAAATTATATACTAAAACTCTACTAAAATGTGGAGAGAAAGGACACATCAGAAAGCTAGAAAAGAATGAATAGCAAAAACCTGTGACAGATCAGAGAGTCCGACACAGCTGGACTGGGATTGGCCATGAAGGAAAAACAATTCACATGGAACCAATCAAAGATGCACCTGCCACATTCCAAAGCAGCAAAACACAGGGAGAAGCAATCAGATTATATTGTTTCTCTTTTCCTCTGAGGCTTCTCATCTTCCCAGGAGAAAAAACCCTGGTGAAGGGATTTTTCATAAAATACCACAGTGACAGCAGTGCTATGGTGTCCCCAGCTCAGCTGTTCAGGGAACTGCGAGATGGGACACGGGGTGGCCATGGCATCCCAACCACTGGCAGGAGAAAAGAGCCCTTCTTTGCCTTGTGTTTCCTCCCAGTCCAAGAGCTCCTGAGGAGGGAAAAAGAGAAGGCACCCAGGCCATCCCCACATGGGAGGTCGACCGTGGACCTGAGTGCGAGCGGGGCGAGGACGAGGACGAGGTGCTGCCGGAGCTGAGGACGTGGCACTGCACTCAGCAGGGCTGCAGCCCACCTCCAGCAGGGACAGTGACAGAGCAGGGGGCTCAGAGCTGCAGGGACCGCTCAGCCTGACCACCCTGCCTCTCAAAGCCCATTCAGAGCCCTCCTGGGTACACGGGGCCTCTTCAAACCTTTAGCTCCATCCTTAGCTGGGAGATAAAGCACAGCCTGCCAGGAACACTGCCACCAACCCTCACTGGTGACACCCCCAACCCCCAGCTGTCACCTCCTCCATCTCCCTTTCCCTCTGAAAAGGGAGGGTTTAATTTCTCAAAGCAAAGATCCCCATGGTTTTACACCCAGGCTGCAAATAAAGAGAATATTGCCCTAAAGGTGTATTTTTTTTTTCTCCCTCCCTGTTCTGCATGTCAGCCTGTAGGGAGCCACAGGAAACCTGGGGGTGGCAGGGACCAGGGCCAGTGTGCTCCTCACCCCATCCACCCCATTACAGGGGTCACAGCCCATCCTTGGAGCAATCATGGGGCCAGAATGGGATCAAAGCCAGTGTGTGGTGTCACAGTGCCCCGTGCCTTGCTGGGCCTCCCCTTTACACTGTGGGAACTCCCCTTGGCTGAAAGAGGAGAAAAAACCACCCGTGCTCTCTCCAGAGGCAGCAGCACTCACCCTGTCTGCAGAGCAGTGATCCCTGAGGTTTTGGGGCATGGCAGTGGGGTGGACAGAGCACCACATGGTCCCCAGGAGTTTCTGACCCCACAGAAATGGGGGGGGCTGTTTCTGTCCCCAGCTCATGGAAATGAAGGTGTCGGGGGCACCCCTGGGATACCCCTGGGAAAGGGGTCCCTCTGTGATAATTTTTGGGGTGCTTCTTGGGGTGTGAGGGGATAAACGTGAAAGGGAAGGGTTGTGACACTGCCAGGGCAGGCAGAAACCCAAGGTGGCCGTGCAGATTTGGGGGTGGCTCCCCACCACGCTGCGGTTTGGAACAGAGAGCCCGGGACACGGGGGTGAGAGGAGCAGGGATTTTATTGCCAGCTGCAGTTCAGGGGTGCAGCTCCAGCCGCGGAGGGCGGGGGGCTGCGCAGCCCCGCGGCCCCGGCCCGCCCAGGGCTTGTCGCCTCCCGAAGCGCCCCACGGGCCGGATCCCGCGGCCCGTGTACCACGAGGGGTCGATGTCCGGGTCTGCGGGGAAAGCCGAGAGCCCGTCAGGGGGGTGGAGAAAGGGGAAGGGGCATTGAGCCCAAGAGTGAGGGGATGGGAACGCCAGGAGAGCAGGGAAGGGGGATGAGGAGGATCAAAGCTGTTGCAATTCTCTCTCAAAGCAGACCTGTGCTCCTGCACAGCGGCAGCAGCTCCTCACCCCCCAAGGGCAGCTGAGCCGGGGGTGCAGAGGGGGCTGGGGACAGGGGCTGGCTGGGGACAGTCCCTTACTCATGTTCTCCCTACTCCTGATTTCCATGGAGCGCTCCAGGACGCGGCCGTGGGTGGCGGGCAGGGTCAGGCAGATGAGCAGCAGCCACAGGAGGCAGGCGAGCCCCAGCTTCATCCTCAGCACTTCCAGGCCCTGTGTCTTGGCTGTGAAGTCTCCTGAGCCCTGCTGAAGGCTCCGATGTGGCTGCAGGAGGGAAGGGATTTGGCTGTGGATGTGTGTCCCCATCACAGCATCCCCGGGCCAGCAGCAAAGGGCTTGGGGACAGCACCAGAACAAACCTTGGGGCTGGGGCTGACACCTCTGGGGAAAATACCGCCTCCAAACTTGAGCTGCACAAACCTCATGGTCACTAAAACAGGTTTTGGTCCTAGCCTAGTGCCTTAGGTCAGGCCTGATCTTCTCTGGGACCCCCAGTAAACCTGTGGGACCCCAGAGCCCAAGGGATGGGGATCACCACAAAAATGCAGGGCTGGCTGCAGAGTCACGGATGGGGGACGGATGGACGGACGGACGGACGGACGGATGGATGGATGGATGGATGGATGGATGATGACCACCTCTGCACCCTTGGCCCCCACCCCTGGCCACGGCTGCTGAAGTGACAACCCGGGAACACCCTGTGCCACACTCCAGGGCACTGAGGCACTGAGCAGGGCTGGGCTGGGTGGGGGCCGGGTCTCTGCAGCCACCCGGGCAGGGGATCCAAGTGGGAGAGGGAGGCAGGGAGAGGCAGGACACGGCGGGGCTGCGGGGCCGCTCCATTTCCAGCCACTTTTGCCAAGGAAAAGTTCTCAGCGCGCTGAGCAGGAGACACCCCGAGCTCCCGGCAGCTCAGGTTTGCCCTGGCCACCAACTTTTGGACCCCTCCCATCCCCACCAGGCGGCTGGACAGACGCAGGACAGACACACGGCGAGGCAAAGCAGCGCTCGGGAATCAGCGAGAGCATCACGGCGGGCGGAGGGGAGCGTCGCTGCCGGGCGGGGGCCGCACTTACCGGGGCCAGGCGAGCAGAGGTGGCCGGCTGCTGTCCCCCGAGGCAGGTGGCGGCTGTGTGAGCCGGAGTCCCCTCCGCTCGCCGCTTTTATCGCCGCTTTCCTGCTGATGTCACAGGCGAGCCCCGGCGGGGACCGAGCCGGGGCATCTCCCCTCCCCGCTGTCCCCTCTCATCAAATCAGGGATTTTCGTGAGTCAGAAGGGATCGGCGCTTTATCTGACGCTGGTTGAGGGAGATAGTTTGGGAACATGTTAATGCCCGTCCTCGGCATTAACAAACTTCGGACAAGGGGAAGTTTTCAGCTCCTTCACCTGCGGCCGGGGTCGGTGTGCGCTGCCGCCCTGAGCGCTGTAACTCCACCGCAGCATTCACACCGGTACCACCACCCCTTCCCCTCCACTCTCCCCCCAAAAAACCTGCCTTAGGGAAATCAGAACGCTAAACACAGAGAGCAGGGGAAGGCAATGTGCCGGGGCACACGGGCTGGCAGGAACGGGCTTGTTCTCTGGGCATGAGGGCTCCAAATCCCCACCCCCGGCCCCCCGCTCCCATTTTAAATGGATTTTAAAGATGTCTGATGTTTATTCTGCTGGATGTGACACTGGAGGAGCCAGCCTGGGGCTCCAGCGTGAGGGTCAGATGGTGTCCAGGCAGACAGAAGTGGGACATCCCAAAACAGGGACATCTCTGTGCTGGCAGGAGTGTGAAGACACCGTCACCAGCGGGGTGTGGGCAGGGGAAGGTCTCTGTCTGCCAGCCCCGTGTAGGATGGCTTTGCCCTGGGATGGAGCTCCGTGCCAGGCAGTGCCCAGCTGCCCTCCCTGAGCACAGCCCGTGCTGGGGAGAGGTGGCAGGAGCAGCGTGGCACACAGAGGACTGCCACAGGTGTGCAGCAAAGCAGGGAAAGGGCTGAAGAGAGGAGAACCTGCCCCAGCCTGGGCTTCAGCCAGGGAGATCCCCACGCCGGGCTCAGCAGGCCTCTCTCCGCCCCAGGGTGGCTGCTGATATTTAATACAGGTTTAAAGCACTCCCTTGGTGCTGGGGGCTCGTGTTTCTTGTGGCTTCAGCTGCCAGACTGGGTTCAGGGTTTCCGTGAGAGTTGGAGCAGTGCCTTTATTTCAGGGTCAGCCCCTCCTCAGCACTAGCCTGGGCATCCCCTTTGCCCACCCAGTGGCTTCTCCTCTGGGCACTGTCAGAAACCAAGACATCCCTCTAGATGCTTTAAGTAGCTCAAAATCCTGGCAGGGGCTCAGAGACTTGGCAGGAAGGCAAAGACACTTGGGATTTTGATCTTAACCTATGGAGCAAATTACCAACGTTATATGAAGAATTACAAGTCACAAAAGTTTAAGTAGCATAACAGTAGTTGTCACAGGGTGAAAGGTGGGATTTTGAAGAATTTTACTGTGGGGGTCTAGGAGACAAGATGGAGGGACTTGGACGTTGTCCTGTTCTTCTCCCTTCTTCTTCCTAGCCTCCATCTTCTTGGTGGTGGTGGCACTTTGGGATTGATTTAGAATAGAAAGTCACTGTCTGACATAGGTGATAGGTATTGGAAAATAACTGTAAATATCGAATATGTAGGTTGTAGTATAAGAGACAACACCAGCCCTGTGGGCAGGCAGTGTGCCTCAGACCGACCTACAGAACAGACCTTGGCATGCCAGGCAAAAAATGTTTTAGATAAAAAATAATAAACAGCCTTGAGAACGACGACTTCTGACTCCTTCTTAGACAGCTGGGTTGGGGAAAAGAGACTTTTTAACACTCCTCAGAGTCACCTCGACCAGAGGAGATGCTGAGAGGCACCACTGACCCACACCATCACACCGTGGCCCTGTGGCCAGTGTCTGGCCAGTGTCTGGCCATCCTGATGTGCACCCTCTGCCCCCACCTGGCTTCAGTGCTGCTGGGTCAGCTCCTGCCTGCTCCACCTGGCCAGCTTTAAAGCAAGGAGTGCACAGGATGGTTAAAGACATGGATGGACAGGGAGCTGCTGGAGCAAGTCCAGAAGAGGCCATGAAGATGCTCTGAGGGCTGGAGCCAGGCTGGGAGAGCTGGGGCTGCTCACCTGGAGGAGAGAAAGCTCTGGAGAGACCTTAGAGCCCTCCCTCTGCCTAAAAGGGCTCCAGGAGAGCTGGAGAGGGACTTGGGACAAGGGATGGATGGACAGGACACAGGGAATGGCTTCCCACTGCCAGAGGACAGGGTTAGATGGGATATAGAGAAGGAATTCTTCCCTATGAGGGCAGAGAGGCCCTGGCACAGGGTGCCAGAAAATTGTGACTGCCCCTGGATCCTTGAAAGTATTCAAGACCAGGCTGGACAGAGCTTGGAGCAACCTGGGACAGTGGAAGGCATCCCTGGCCTTGGCAGGGGGTGTGAACAGAGGGGCTTTGAGTTCCCTTCCAAGCCCAGCCACTCTGGGATTCCATGGGAGGAGAAAGGAGCCTTTGCTGAAAAAACTGACACTGGGAAATGGGTGGGTGGTTCTGGACACAGAATTGGCTTTATTGCATGATTTAGTGAACATTTATTATAAACTCTACACAGGCAAACGGGTCAGGAAACCAGCAAAGAACAACATGGGTGGCTACTGAGCGATGCCTTGGTCTGCACTGCTGAGGTTCCCCACGAGGATTCCTCCACAGGGTCAGGACTGGAAGGACTGGAGTCATGGCTGGAGCCAGACAAGCAAGAGATGGGGCTGGGGGAAGGCTGAAGCCTGATGCCAGAAGGGTGGGTGCAAACCCTTGGTGAAGCTCCCTTTTTCCAGCCCAGGAGCTGCCATCCCAGCACAGCACAGGCTGGATCCAGTGAAGCCACAGTGTCTGGGAGGGTTTCTGCCACAGCAGAGGTTTGCACTTACCCTGTTGAACTTCAGGCCACAAGGATTTAATTTTAAAATAAGAAACTGGCCTTGTTTCCAGCTGGGAAGCCCAGCCTATGGACTCACAATACTCTCTGGGATGACCACAGGACCAATTCCTACACAGTTAGCAGCCTCTACTCCTAGCAAAGCCAGACGAGTGTTACTTGCATGAGAACTCACCCTACTGCTCATAATTAAAGTGGTTTTAGCTCGGATGCTCAGGAATTGCCTAAAATGATCCAGCCTGGGTGGCCATGGAGGGGAAACTCTGCACTGGTCTGATGTCCCTGCTCCAGCTGTGAGTGATCCTCCTCACTTTACCCACTGGGGAGGGAGGGAAGGAGAAGAGTGGGGGCTGTAAAGGACAGGGACAGAACAAAAAACCTCTTCCAAAGTGACTGCAAGAGAAAGCAACCCTCTGCCCATCCTGATGCTCTGCTCATGGGTATGGGGCCAGTACTGATCCACTGGGATCAATGGACAGTTGAATATTGGATGAAAACAAACGTCTTGGGGAGCTGGGGGAGGCTGACACCAGGGCCCAGGGCTGCTGCAACTCCCAAAGGTCATCACGGTGCTGACAAAGGATGGGGTGGCCCTAAGAGGCTCCACACTGCCATCACCAGGGACAGGGGACATGCTCATCCACCCAAGTGCATCCTGGCAGGGGCTGACCCCTCTGAGGAGCAGAGGAGCACTGACATTCTGCAGGCTGGGGTTCTGTGTCTTGCTGATACTGCCTCACATGGAGTGGAGATGTCTTCAAGAGCTGGAAAAGCAAACCAATATCCCCAGCAAGCCCTCCAGTGTTTCCTCCCACTTTTCTTGCCACTGCTTGCCTCAGGCCTCGCCTCACTCCCATGCCCTGATGGCCTCAGCTGCTTCAGGCTTGGTGGGTGTTTGCATGCTTGGGGCAAAGAGCAAGGGCTCACTGGGAGGGAGCAGCACTGCTCTCATCCTGCGTTGCTGCTCAGGGAAGAGAAACAAAGCTCCAAGGGACATGGCAGGGGATTGGGACCATCAGGATGTGAATCCCAGCACTGGGATGCCTCTTCTGCCTGGGGCACTCCACACTCACCGTCAGCTCCTGTCCCTGCTCACAGCAGCCAGGAGAGAGGAGGGACAGGCACTGACAGCTTCTGCCAAGTGAGAGCTGTGTCCCTGCCCTGTCCCTGTGCTGAATGTCACACTGACACCCAGCTCCCCTGAGGAGGTCACTCCTGCTCTGCACCTCTCTGGTCCCCTCGGCTGACCCAGCACCAAAGAGCTGCTCCAGCCCAAGGTCTCATTCCAGCACCCTCCCATGAGAACCCCACGCCACATGGCTGCACCCCAGGGCTTTGCTCCTCTTCCCATCAACTCCCAGCAAGGCCTCCTGCCCATGGCCTCTGGCTTCCTTTCTGTCCAGGCTTTCAGGGAGAGAGGGGCTCAGGAGAAGGAGGAGAAAAGTGTTGCAGGGAAGGCTGAGAGAGGCTTTGCTTTGCTGAGGTCTTGTATCTTCACTGAAATGCGGCAGCAGGGAGCTCCCCTCTCCTCAGGACAGGTGGGTCATCACAGGCTTCTGCGGGGCACAAGAAGGAGAAACCTCAGCCCACCACCGTGTCCACAGCACCCCGAGCCAGCCCAGCACCTCCCTGTCCCTCTCCAGCTGCCACTGCACGGAGTGAGTCCCTGTCCCACCCCACGGGCCACGCGGGCAGCGGGAACTCAGGGATGTTCCTCCTTGGAGCTCGTGGCATCCCCGAGCTCAGGGGTGGTGCCCGGGCACTCCAGACAGTGTGGAGGGACCAACGGTGAGAGCTGAGGGCTCCATCAGCTTGAGGAGAACCTGGGGGAGGACGGGTGCCAGGGGCAGCCAGCAGAGCTGCCGGGGCTGGCTGCGTACCGCGAAGAGCCGCTCCACCCTCCTGTTCTTGCCGTTGGGGTTCCTCTGCGTCAGCGAGCCGCGGTACGCCGAGTTGCGCTCAAAGGAGTCGTCAAAACCTGCAGGGAGGGAGCAGGGCTGGGCAGCAGCTCCTCACCCGCCTCACCAGAGGGTGCAGAGACCCACCAAGTCACCTGGGATTGACTAATCCCCCTCTGGTTGCACTCCCAGCACTTCCCTCTCCGGGAGCGCTCTGGTAAGGAGCAGACAATGTCGCCCTGATTTTTGAAGATTTTTTTAAGCCTTCTGGTGTTTGCATTCTCATACCAAACTTTCTCACACACT